CTGACGTTGTAGCCAACAACCACGCGAGGTGAAAAAGGGAGAAGTAACCTTGCCTCACAAGTCTGCTTCTTCCTGAAAGCCCGGGAAAGCTCCAGGAGTGGGCCACCCTCCCTACCCACACACCTGGAGGACTCCTCTTCCAGGCAGATCATGGCTTCCCAGGGAAGCCTACCGCACCTTCGCTGGGCTGCTTAGAGTGGGACACCCAAAGCCATGCTTGGAGCGGCAAGGTCACACAACCTCCCCATTGCCCCCTCCAAGCCTTAGGCAACCACTAACCTACTTTCTGTTTCTATAGATTTTGCTATTCTGGACAGTTAATGTTAGTGGGGTCATACATATATGGTTCTTTGTTGAGTGGTTTCTTTCACTTAGCATGATATTGTCAAGGTTCATTCATGTCGTGGTACGTGCCAGTACTGCATTCTTTTCTTCTGCTGTAAAAACATTCTACATCTAATTTATCCATTAGTCAGTTCATGGACATTTTAGGTTGCTTCCACTTTGGGGCTGTTATGAATAAAGCTGCTATGAATATTTGTGTACCAGTTTTTGTGCGGACATATGTTTTCATTTCTCTTGGGGATATACCTGGGAGTGAAATTGCTGGATCAGATGGCAGCTCCATGTTTAACCTTCTGAGGAGCTGCCAAACTGTTTTCAAAAGAGGCTGCACCATTTTCCATTCCCAGCAGCAGGATTTCAATTTCTCCAAATCCACACCAATACTTTTTATTTGTCGTATTGAATATAGCCATCCTAATGGGTATGAAGTATCTCATTTTGGTTTTGACTTGCATTTCCCTGATGGCTAACAATGTTGAGCATATTTTCATGTGCTTATAGGTCATTTGTGAATCTTCTTTGAAGAAATATCTATTCAATTTTTAATTGGGTTAGTTGTCTTTTTATTATCGAGTTGTAAGAGTTATTTGTATGTTCTAGATATGAGTTCCTTATCCAATATATGATATGCAAACATTTTCTCCCATTCTGTGAGTTGTCTTTTCACTTTCTTGATAATATCCTCTGAAGCACAAAAGGTTTAATTTTGATGAAGTCCCACTTATCTATTTTTTCCTTGGTTGCCTATGCTTTGGGTGTCATATCTAAGACTGGTGCTGTTCAGTAATTTTTCATGTGCTTATTGGCCATTTTTATGCCTTCTTTTGTGAAACGTTATGCTTAAATCTTTTGCCATTTTTGAGTTGTTTATCTTTTTATGTAATGTAGTATATGTTCCCATTCCCTGCCTATTTGTATTCTTTCTTTTTTTTAAAAAATAAATTTATTTTATTTATTTATTCTTGACTGCATTGGGTCTTCGTTGCGGTGCGGGGGCTTCTCATTGCGGTGGCTTCTCTTGTTGTGGAGCACGGGCTCTAGGCGTGCGGGCTTCAGTAGTTGTGGTGCACGGGCTTAGTTGCTCCGCGGCATGTGGGATCTTCCCAGACCAGGGCTCGAACCCGTGTCCCCTGCATTGGCACGCGGATTGTTAACCATTGCGCCACCAGGGGAGCCCAGGGAGCCCTCTATTTGTTTTCCTAATAGTTCCTTTTGGTATCAGAAAATGTTAACTTTCCTTTTTAAATTTTATTTATTTATTTTGGCTGTGCCGGGTCTTAGCTGCGGCATGCGAACTCTTAGTTGCATGAAAATGTTAAATTTCATGAGTCTAATTTATCCATTTTCCCCTCTATGGTTACTGCTTTTTGTGTCCTGTCCAAACAACTTCTGCCTACCTCAAGGTCACAAAGATATTTTCCTCTGTCTTATATATTGGGCTGGCCAAAGAGTTCGTTTGTTTTTTTCTGTAAAATGGCTCTAGTAGCACTTAGTTGCCTTTAACATCATTTGAAACAATTTTGTTAGATTGTATTGTGACAGCTGTCATATCAGCGTGCATTTAAAAAAAACTTATCAAAATTGGTGAATTTTTGTGTAGCCACTTTAATACTGAAGATGGAAGAAAAAAAGCAACATTTTTGGCATATTATGCTTTCTTATTTCAAGAAAGGTTAAAACGCAACTGAAACACACACAAAAAAGATTTGTGCAGTATATGGAGAAGGTGCTGTGACTGATCGAACATGTCAAAGTGGTTTGTGAAGTTTCATGCTGGAGATTTCTCTCTGGACAATGCTCCACGGTCAGGCAGACCAGTTGATAGTGATCAAATTGAGACATTAATTGAGAGCAATCAATGTTATACCACGCAGGAGATAGCCGACAAACTCAAAATATCCAAATCAAGTGTTGAAAATCATTTGCACCAGCTTGGTTATGTTAATAGCTTTGATGTTTAGGTTCCACATAAATTAAGCAGAAAAAAACTTCTTGACCGTATTTCTGCATGCGATTCTCTACTGAAACATAATGAAAATGTTCCGTTTTTAAAACAAATTGTGACGGGCAATGAAAAGTGGATACTGTACAATAATATGGAAAGGAAGATATCATGGGGCAAGCGAAATGAACCACCACCAACCACACCAAAGGCCAGTCTTCATCCAAAGAAGGTGATGTTGTGTATATGGTGGGATTGGAAGGGAGTCCTCTATTATGATCTCCTCCCGGAAAACCAAATGATTAATTCCAACAAGTACTGCTCCCAATTAGACCAACTGAAAGTGGCCCTCGATGAAAAGCGTCCAGAGTTAGTCAAGAGAAAACACATAATCTTCCATCAGGATAATGCAAGAAGACCACATGTTTCTTTGATGACCAGGCAAAAACTGTTACAGCTTGGCTGGGAAGTTCTGATTCATCTGCAGTATTCACCAGACATTGCAGCTTTGGATTTCCATTTATTTCAGTCTTTACAAAATTCTCTTAATGGAAAAAATTTCAATTCCCTTCAAGACTGTAAAAGGCACCTGGAACAGTTCTTTGCTCAAAAAGACAAAAAGTTTTAGGAAGATGGAATTATGAAGTTGCCTGGAAAATGGCAGAAGGTAGTGGAACAAAATGGTGAATACGTTGTTCAATAAAGTTCTTGGTGAAAATGAAAAATGTGTCTTTTATTTTTACTTAAAAGCTGCACGAACTCTCTGGCCAACCCAACACAAACTTTATGGTTGTGGGTTTTACATTTAGCTCTATGACCCCTCTCAAATTAATTTTTATGTGTGGAGTGAGCTAGAGGTTGAGGTTCGTTTATTTTATATGGATATCCAGTTGTCCCAGCAATACTTGTTAAAGAGACTTTCCCCTCCACACTGTATTGACCTGGGACCATTGTAAAAAGTCAGTTAACCATATATGTTGGTGGATTTCAAAATTTCTAATTTATTTCATTGATCTATTTGTCTCTACTTTTTCTAACTCCACACTCCCTTGAATACTCTAGCCTTATAGTAAGTCCTAATTAAAATAGTTTAATTCCTCCAACTTAATTCCTCCAAGATTGTTTTTGGCTACTCTAGACCCTTTCTGCATTTCCACTTAAATTTTAGAATCAGCTTGTCTACTTCCTCAAAGAAATCTGTTGGATTTTTATAGGGATTAAATTAATCTATAGATCAACATTGAGTCTAACCATCTATGAACACAGTATATCTCAATTTCTATTTTGTCTCCATTTCTTTAAGAATTTTTAAGTTTCTCTCAGCAACGTTTTGTCATTTTCAGTGTAGCTATCCCGCAAATATTTAGTTAGATTTATCCTTTGTATGTGATATTTTTGATGCTATTGTAAACAGTATATTTCAATTTTCATTCTCCAATTGTTTTTAAATAGTATATAGGATGGAGTAATTTTTTATATTGACTTTCTATCCTTGACCTTTCTAAAGTCACTTACCGATTGGGGCTTTTTGTGTGTGTGTATTCCATACATTTTTCATACACAAGTTATGTCTTATGCAAGTAATAACAGTTTTACTTTTTTTTTCCTATCTTTATGCCTTTTATTTCTTTTTCTTGCCCATTACGCTAGCTAGCATTTCTAGTACAATGTTGAATAGAAGTGGTAAGAGATTATATGCTTGCCTGTTCCCCTATTTTAGGGGAAAATTTTTTAAATATTTCACCATTAAGTATAATATTAGCTGCAGCCCTTTTGTAGATGTTCTTGGCTTATAAGACCAGATCCAGGAACACTTGAGAAGGGCTGAAGAAGAAAGAGACTGTTATCTGTGACTTCTTGCTAATGACATCTTATTTACCTAAGAGAGCTAAACAGGGTCTGTTTCTTCTTCATCTCTTGAGTTGAAGAATCAAAACAAAGTTTCAGAAACTGCCATGGTACCCTGTGCCCCTTTTCATAGAGCAAGATTTATAGGTCCAATTTCCATCTCCCAAGCATACTTTATACTTTCCTATTATATGCTAAAATATCTATCATCTTAATCAATGTATAAATGCAACTGGATATGGATATTAATCACATACTTATTTATAACTTCTAATTTGCCATTGACCTAATACTTCTTGATATCAAAGGCATGCTGGGACTTCCCTGGTGGTCCAGTGGTTAAGACTCTGAGTTTCCAGTGCAGGGGGTGCGGGTTCAATCCCTGGTCAAGGAACTAAGATCCCACATGCCATGTGGCGCGGCCAAAAAATGTAAAATAAAAAAGTTAAAGCTCATGCTTTCCCCATAATATTACTCCTACCACACAGCCATGTTTCATGGGCTGCGGCAAGCTACTGAGGGTTTTAAAGTAATGGGTGACACACTCATAGCCATGTGATATGCCCCAGATGAACTTCAGGGAGGAAGCCCAAGCTAGGGAACCATTCACCTTTCTATCATAGTTATCAAGAGTGAGATGGGCTCTCCCAAACTCTCTCCTTATCCGGACCTTCCCTAGGCTCCCAAAGGTTCCCCTCTTTGGGACAAGGGTAGCATCTTGTCTTCAGAGAGGAATAAAATATTCCTGTTCTCCATTTTTGTCTTGGCAGACCTCCCCTTCCTTTCTCTGGCAGAAAAATGAATGACCTACCACCTGGCTTACATAATAATACCAGCATTAAGTGATAACAGCAGTAATACCTACCTGAGTCTAAGTGAGGAGGAGGGCAGTTTCCAGGGAACTCTGATTTTTCAGCTTGTTCTCTGCTGAAGTCCAGGGTCTGGAGGAAACAGGCAGTTAAAGAGAAAGAAAGCTGGTCTCAATGGTAGAGCCACCTTTGGCCACAATCGAGGGTACACCCCCAAAGAAACCCTGAATCTTCTCCCTTGAAGAATAACCCTGTAGACGGCAGAGGAATTAAGCAAACTAGACATTGCAGGGAGAGCCTGGAGAGGAGCAGCATGTGCATAGACTTCTCTCCCACACACCTGCTGAGGGCTTCGGAGCCGTGACAAGATAGCTGTCCATAACTGAAGACATCTAATCTCATTCAAAACTTTTGTACTAGACAGGGAGCCAGGAGTGGAATAGAGGTGGATGGTGACGGGCCAGGGAGCTGGCCTGACCCCAAGACCAGTGGCCCACTAGGGAGCTCCTTAGCCCTCCTCCCAGGCACCTGGGTGCCTCTCTTCCTGAGAAGTTAGTGGTTGGCACAAAACTCCTCACTTTCTCCTCTTCCCAGAGGAAGGATCCTGGGATAGTATTTGGGGAGGCAGGGGTGTGGCAGAGGCTGTGAGAATGCACTGCCTGCCTGGTTCCCAGCTTACTCGCATGGTAAGGCTCCCACAAGCCCAGAAAAGACAGGGCCATGAGGGACAAATGAAGTCAGAACATCTCAGGGACCAAGGATTCTAAGCAGGGATTACGACCTTGGGCTCCATCATTACATTTCTGGGCTCAACTCCTAGCTCCATCACTTACTGGCTGCTGTGACCATAGACAAGTTATTTAATCTCTCCATAGCTCAGTTTTCTCATCTTTAAAAGGGAATAAAGGACTCCCCCCCCTCACAGGGTCACAAGTAAGGATTAAATGAAATGATTCGTGGATTGTCTTGCAGTAATAATTCACTACACATTAGCTATTCTTGTTCCACTTACAAGTACTTTCTCTTGCTTCTTAGTGAAAGCACATGTCTGGTGCTTCCTGCCTTTCCCCATGAAGGCAATTCCAAAACTACAACCCGACAATCTGAAGAATCTCCAAAACATCCCGCACACGTTCTGGAGGCGTGGGCACAGGGATGGGACAGCTCACTGGTGCCTGGCGGTGAACGTCCCCTGCTGGGCGTGCCCAGTGGCTCAACATCGTGCGCACGTGCAGGTTTACACATCAGTGCATCTATGCGTGCGCGAGGCTGGAGACCCGCGAGTTCAGCAGTCCGGGGTTAGCGCCGCGCCGCTGGTAGGCGGGGCAGAACCATTGTTCCGCCGTGGACCGACCCCCCCACCCCACCGCCTGCGCGCTCGCCACGGAGAGAGGCGGGGCTTCGCTGGGCCCGTGGCCCGCGACCCCGGGCTTGAAAGCAAGTCTCTACTCCTACGCGTCTCGGCGAGCGGGAAGGCGGGGGTGCAGCTGTGTGTAGTGGTCGCCCGTGTGGCTTCCCCACTCCTCCCCGGGAAACTTCCCCAGTGCCCATCCATTCGCGAAGTGCCCGGGGCCAGTCCTGGGCTGGCACCCACCCCCCGTTCCCCAGTTCCCCGATCGGGTCCTCTCCCTCTTCCAGAGAGGACCCTTCTGAGCGCCTCCTAGGCGGCGGGGTGCCGGGCAGAGGCCCAGCGGCCGGTGGAAGAGAAGCCTAGAAGGAGAAAGGGAGGGGAGGGGGAGTGAGGAGCTCGCGGCAGAGGAAACAGCAGATTGCGCCGAGCCAATGGCAACGGCAGGACGAGGTGGCACCAAATTCCCTTCGGCCAATGACGCGCCAGAGTCTACAGAAGCCCATTAGAATTTCCCCAGGGGCAGGGCCAGAGGCAGGGGCTGCGGCGGCCAAGCCGCGGTGTGTCTGCAGCATCCAATTTTTGCGTCTCCTCCCCTCTCCCGCCCATGCGGATCTCCCACGGTGAGACAACTCTGCTTACTTTGCCCCTTGTTGGCAACGAATAAAAGGGTCTGAGGAAATACGGGACCCGGTCACCCACTGCCAGCTTTAGCCTTTAAATCACCAGCCTGGGGAGATCCACGCACAGCAGGTCGGGTCCGGATACCGATCCAGCGCGCACCGTGCAGCAAAGGGTTCCGAGCGCAGCGCCGCGGATCGCCGCGCCAAAAGCGGCCTCGGGAACTAACCTACCCTCAGTTCGGGCTGCCCCGAACTCCGCTCCGCAGACTCAGCCCTGGGAAAGTGATCCCAGCGTCCGAGAGCCCAGATGCCGGCCCACTTGCTGCAGGAGGAGGTGAGCTTCCAAGTAATGGCCCCCAGACCGCGGGTTCGCCGGCGCTGGTCGGGCTTCTAAGTGACTCGGTGGGGGAAGAGAGTTGAGATCTCTGCACACAGCCATCTTTTGCGAGTTGTACTGCCTTCAGTTTGTTGGGAATGGGGATTGTAATTTGGGAACTTAGGTCCCCAACTTTTGTTTTTTAAGCTTAAAGAAAAATCTGGTCGTGCCGGTACTCTCACGTATGTAGGCATGCGGGTTTGCCTTTGTGTGTTCGTTGGGGTGCGAGTGTTTTACTCCTCTTTCCTATTTCCCTTTCACCTTGAGGTTTCACCCCCCTCCCCAATCTCTCTGCACCGTTCCTAGGGACTTCCCTCTCTTCCATCTGGGATAGACCTTGCCCTCAGGTAACGTGGGTGTTGGGGCCAGGTCTGTGCCTATACCCCGCCCTTCTCCCAGCTTGATTAGTGAGTGAAGTGGCCCCTACTACGTCCACGTGTCCTCTCCTCTCTCCTGACCCTCCACTTCCTTTCCCTTCCAGATCTCTAGCTCCTACACAACCACCACCACCATCACAGCACCTCCCTCCAGGCTCCTGCAGAATGGAGGGGGCAAGCTGGAGAAGGCTCCCCTATACTTGGAAGAAGACATCCGCCCTGAAATAAGAGATGACATCTATGACCCAAGCTACCAGGATAAGGAGGGCCCAAATCCCAAGCTTGAGTATGTCTGGAGAAACATCATCCTCATGTCTGTGCTACACTTGGGAGCCCTGTATGGGATCACATGGATCCCCACCTGCAAAATGTACACCTTGCTCTGGGGTAAGAGTTCCCCCTGTCCTCCTGACCCAGTACCCCAGGTTCTCTCCCCTCTTAATAAAGTAGGATCTTACATAGAGCAGAAACTCCAGCCCTTCCAGGCTGAGGTTTTCCCAGCCATTTCTCTTTGGTGTCCTGAGAGGCTGGGTGGGCTGGGAACAGAGCCTAGGGGGTTTGGGATGCAGGAGTGTCAGTTCTGGGTGTCCTTTAATTTGGGTGTTGGGGAGGGACCTCTGAGACCATGGGCCGCAGGTTCTGAAGGAAGCAGAACAGTGCCAGAGAGTCAGCTTTCCCGGAAAGAGGTTTTCTGCTTCAAGTCTTTAGTTGACTGCTTGTCCCAGCCCTGCCAGCCACGAAGGAATCAAGGTCCCTACCTGGGAGGCATGGGGACATGGGACTAGACTAGTGGCCTTAGAAGGTATATGCTGAGCACAGTCATGGGATAGCGAGAGAAGCTACTCAGGAAGAGTTAGTAGAAGAGGGAGGAACAGAGCGGTGGTCATCCACAAAATTATTTTGCCCTGACCCTTGGCCCTGTCAGGCGCCTTATTCACATAGACGGGTGAAGAAGTCTCCTGAGTAACCCAAGTTACACAGATTTGCTGCTCTGTGACTCCATGTAGGTCTCCAGGGGACTGCACGTGCCACTCAACAAAATGTTCTTAGAATGAGATAAGGTTAAAGAAGTGTTTCATGTCCCATTCCCCACTCATCCTGCTCCAGCCCCCTGAGCCTGGGCAGCCCTGGCCTTCAGGCTGCTGCAGTGAGGGAGACAGTCCCCAGTGCATCCCTGCCCTGCCCTTAGCTCAGCTCTTTCAGGAATCCATGGGCTTGGGCACACAGCAGGGCCCTGCCCCCTGCACACACACATGCGCTCTGAGGGCATTTCCACCTCTGCCACCGTAAGTCTGACTTCGGAAGGGGAGAGCAGGGAAGCCTAAAGACCCAGGGGACCCACATTGCCGCTCTCTGAGGGGAGTGGGCCAGAACTCCTTCTCCAGGAAGCAACTGTAGGATTTCCAGAGCAGTCCGGGGTGTGCGGCGCTTGCAGACAGCTGCACTCTTGGAGGGGGGTTACGTAGGGCCAGTGGGCAGGTCTCAGCCGAGTCCTCCAGGACCTCTTTAGTCTAAAGGTGCTTTTAGACTAAAGAGGTCCGCGGAGCTTTGTCTTGGGGAATCCTCTTAGTGCCACAGACAGAGAAATGCAACTGGGTAGATCCCCTCTCTCAGTTTTTCCAGATACACACTGGGGACAACAGTACTTTTTTTGAGATTAGAAAGGTAGTGCTCCTTAAGTTACACGTGTGTCATTGCTGGGGCCAGCCACATGCAGATGAAATCTGTTCATCTGCAGACCAGGAAGGGCTCTTATATTTGTGAGGGGAGGGGGACGTCTGTTCTCTAGCCCTTCTGAGAACCCAGCAGAACTTTAGTTCAGAGTGAGGAATCAAGAGCAGGGACGAGGATTCCCCAGGGAGACTGTGGACCCCTCTTTCTACCCCTTCTCCCCAACACAGGAGTCTTCACCAGGTGTTTAGTCACCTGCAAGCCCCTTCCAGCCTCAGGTCTCCCTGTAAGTCTCTCGTAAAGTCCAGAGTTTGGCCAGACCGCTGCTGCTCACTCCTCTTCCTCAGCTGCTAGTGCAGTGCAGAATGCTCTCCCCAAACCAGGGCTGTGCCTGCTACCTTTTTGGTGCCCTGCCCGTGGGTGTGTGCTGTGCCTTTGGACAGAGAAGTGTGTCACACGAAGACTGGATAAGTTGTGATGTTTTTACTCCTGTCCCTGGGCCCTGTGGTGGATGGCTTAGCTGACGGAATGACCGATTTGGTAGGGGGATATCAGAACTCTTAAGGAACAAAAGGGGGTTGGGGGGAGGGTCAGAGGGTCCTTCTGAGTTCAGGAGCTTGGCTTCACCTTCTCTGGTTTTATCCCTAAGTACAGTGTTAAATTAGCAGATGGTTGTGATTCCAGCATTTCTCATGACTGAGCAATTTTGAGCGTGTCTCAGAAGAGCCCTGAGGGAAGGGCTGAAGAGATATCTCTGGCTACACTGAGAGGCCATGGGGCAAAACTTCTCCAGTCTCTTTCTTAGGACTAAAGCTATGAGGTTTTGCTTAACCATCAATTTGGACTTTAATAGAGAATGAATTTTCAACTGGCGCAAGGCCTTCTATTAGATAAGCCTTAGAGAAAAAGGCACCAGAGGGCTTGGGTGCTTTTCCCAATTCCTTTGTTAATGCAAGGATCTTATGTGCTTTCTGAGTCAACTTGCCAGGGTCTTCGGTGGCATGAAACAACCCCAGTAACTTCCTTGCTTCTGAGCTGAGTGCTTCTTTTGTGCCCAAAGACATTTTTCTTCACCCTTAGTGATTGGCGGGCTGTGGCTCAACTGTCATTTATCCAGGTGCAGGTGCAGGCAAGATACTGCATCTGGGAGGATATTACCACGTGGCCGGAGAGCAGCAAATCATAGGGGGCCTTAATTTAGCCCAGAGGGACTGTGGGTAGAACTCTCACTGGGACAGACTCTAGCTCCATGGCTCTCCTCCCCATCCTGTCGGAGGAATACGATAGGGTAGAGGAAGATGGGTGGGGTGGGAGGAGCTTGTTTAGGAAACTGGTATCTATGGCTGAAGAAGAACACAGGACAATTTGTTACAATGTGTGGTGTCTCCAACTGCAACTAAGTTCAGTGGCCACTGAGGATCCATTGTTTCTAGCTGCTTCCCTAGGAATGAAACATTGTCAACAGTCACTGCTCTACCAAGGCCTCAGCCCCTGCCTCCTAGAGTTACTGAACAGAGGAAGGTAGGTATGCCAAGAAACCCGCCTCCCAGTTAGAGACTCTGTCTGGCACCCCCGGAGCCTGCAGGCCTCCAGGAAGGTGAGGCAGGACAGCATTGGGGTGCTCCACCCACAGCTTTGAGTCCGTGCCACTATTATCTAGAATTAGCCTTGCCAGAGGGAGTGTGGGCTGGCAGAAGGACACGGCAAAGGCGAGACACAGGAACCTTGTGCCTATCTTGGGGAGGTGGATGGTACACATCCTTGTGCCAGACTTCCGAACATAAACTGCTTATTGACAGAAAATCTAGTTTCAAATCTTGGCTCCATTTCTTACTTGCCACGTGACGATAGATAAACACTTAACTTCTCTGAGCTTCTATTTCTTCAACTGCAAAGTGAGGATATTAAACCCCATTCAGGGTATCCAGTGAATTGGAGAATATAAAATCCTTGGCGAAGCTTAAGACGCTGTGCAGCTATGACTTACGTGCAGGGCGAATTCTCCCCTCCTATGGCCACACCACCTGCAAAAAGATTGCAATGCTTTCGTACCAGCTGGTAAATAGCCCTAGTTCTGAGCCCCCTTAATGTCCCCTAGAACCCAGGGACCCTTGAATTGGTCAGTGCCCAGACCATACTGTCTGTTAAATAATTTAATACTCTCCTTGCTTATATGTCTTAAGCGCTGCAGGAGTAGTCTGCGGTCCTTCCTTCAAACCTTGGAGAAGGTTAGCAGAAGGTCAGAGGAGATGCGATCTGGGAGACTGTCCTTCACGAGTGAGAATGCCAAGTGGCTGGGGGGTGAGAGCCCTCTTCTCTGTCCTGCCTTTCTGAAGTTCCTGGGACTCCTAAGCTTATTCCAGCTCCTAGGTTGAGAGGATGAGAGGTGATGGTATTTTTCAAGTGATAAAATCAAAGGAGCCTAAGAGATCAAGGTATCCCTGGAGTTCAGGAAAAAGCAGATCCTCACTGGGAGGCTAAG